CCCGCTCCGGGCATGCCGCGAGGACGAGCTCGACGAGGCCCACGCCACCATGGAGCACGTGGAACTCCTCGCCGCGGCAGAGGTCGCCGCGCTGCGCCGGCGCTCCGTGCGCGCGAAAGGGTGCCCGCCCCCCACGTGCGGGCCGGAGCAGCGCAGCCTGTGCCTGCACTTCTCGGCGGCGAGCGAGGGGGGACGTGTTAAGTCGGGGGTGTCCCTCTACAGGGGGAATATCCCAAAATAGTAAGTCAAATTGAGTATTTTTGGGTTATTTTTAAACGTGTTTTTCATTTTTTACACAAGATCCCCCTGTAGGGGGACACGCCCGACTTAAGGGAAGTGAGACGGGAGAAGTTTCAGAGGAGGAAGAGGTTCCCATACCCCTACCCTTTCTTCGTTGTCCCTTTTTTGGGCCTCGGAGGCCCTCGTCGCCACCGCCAGGTTCGCCTCGAAGTCCTGGTCAGAACGCACCCCGGGAGTGGTCCAGGGAGTAGCGGTATCGGTACTTTTTCCCCAAACTTTCGGGCTCGAGGGAGATTCAAGGTCTTCGAACGGTTTCGTCGGTCCTCGGCGACTTTCCAGCCTCGGGGTGCGTTCCAGCGGCTGCGCCTCGCCGAGGGCGTTCCTGGGGTGTCGGGATCGCCCCGAACGGTCACCAGAGAGCCGAGTTATGGCCCGAAAAACCACCAGGCGTCCGAGAAGGAGAAGGCCTTCTCAGAAGCCCTCGCGCCTTCTGAGAAGTATTTCTTTCTGTCTTCGGGAAAGGCTTATAGAAAGCTCCTCGGAGGGATTCCCGAGCCTTCTGAGAAGGCCTTCTCCTCCTCGCTTTCCCGCCCCGCTTGCCGCCGAACTTCCTGAGCGAGATGGCGCGGTCGGGCCAGAGCTTGCTGCAGTGCTTCTTCCGGGCGATGAGCACGTTCGACGACAGCCTCGCGGTGGTCGTGGGCGAGCCGCCCCTCTCGGAGAACCGCCGCGCCCTCACCCGCGCCGCGGCGGTGTGGCTCGTGACCTCGAAGTGCGAGGGGCGCGCGGTCCAGGGCATGGCGACGACGCTGCAGATGGTCACGCTGCGCGTCTCGCAGCTCTCTGAGCTCACGGGCGGCCCCCCGATCCTCGCCGACGACGTCAGGGAGGAGGACTCGGGGGTGGACAGACCTCCTACCCCGACACGTCGATCAGTGAATGGTCCGTTTTCGTTTCTCGAGGGTGCGCCGCGGCCGTCGTTTTCCAGGCCTGCGGCCGCCAGGTTTGGGCCCGAGGTCTTTTTCACTAAACCACGTTTTTCTCAAGGGGGGGTCTGTCCATCCCCGAAGGAACGTGGGCTGCTGAAGGCCAGCCTGCCGAACCTGTACGCGCCGACGATGCTGCAGTGGATCGACCTGTTGCGCGAGCGCTTCGACGTCGTCTCCCGGCGCCGCGCCATGGGCGTGTTCCAGGCCTAGAAGAAGAACAAACGCCCTCAACATAAACTGTTGGCGCTCCGCTCGGATTTCTTGGATCCGCGCGGGACCCACCCCCCTGGCGCGTGTAGCGTGCCCCGGGCAGCGCCGAAGGCCCCGCCAGGGGGGCCCAGTGCAGATCCAAGAAATCTGCGCGCAGCGCCAACATTTTATGTTTATGGCGTTTTTCTCATTCGAAGGCCGCGGCGCCGTGGATGCACACCCTCCTCCTCCTCCTCCTCCTCCTCCTCCTCCTCCTCCTCCTCCTCCTCCTCCTCCTCCAGGCCACGGCGCCGTGGATGCACGCCGTTGCCACCCAGGCGTTGAAGGCGGGTCCGCCGAGCGAGCGGTTCCCGCCTCGCGCGCTGGTGGCGGCCACGGCTGGCCTGGCCCTCGTCGCGGCCGGCCTGCTCCGCGCGGACACGCGCCCGCGAAGCGAGCGGAGGAGGAGGAGTGAGGAGGAGGAGGAGGAGGAGGAGTGAGTGAGTGAGTGAGTGAGTGAGTGAGTGAGTGAGTGAGTGAGTGAGTGAGGGAGAGAGGGAGGGAGAGAGGGAGGGAGGGAGGGAGGGATTGAGTGAGTGAGTGAGTGAGGAGGATGAGAAGGGCGGGTCCGGAGGGAAACGGGTCCTGCAGTTTCTCCGCCGTCTTCTGGCTCGAGGGGCCCTCCGCTGGCCCCTGGGTCCCAGAGGAGGCCCGAGCAGATGTGGTCGGGGGATCGCGCCGCCTCGCCGCTGCACCAGGGATGCGGCTCGAGGGCGACGGCGCCGATGCATCGCCGACGTTCCCGGTGCATCGCCGACGCATCGGCGATGCGGCGCGATTCTCGGAACCCATCTGCTCCGCCCCATCTGGGAGGCATCTGGGGCCCCAGCACCGTCAAGAAACGATTCAGGATGCAGAGCTGGCTCCGGGGAAAGCCCCCCAGGTCTAGGGCCCTTTACCCTCAGGAGCCGTCTGCTTCATTCCAAGGATGCCTTGGTTCCGGCCTACATGACTGACGCGCGTTGGCAAGACGCCCTCGACCAGGTCCTGCAGGAACCAGAGGAGCGCCTCAGGGACGTCGAACCCCCTTATGTGGAGCCGACGGCAGCACGTGCCGTTCTGGAGTTCGCGACGGGCCTCACGATCGAGGAGGTGCGAAACTACGTGCCGTACGTGGTGATGTTGGCCATCGGGGCGCGCAACATGCAGTAG